AAAGGTCGAAACAGAGCGGTCGGTTTTCCGCACCAAATCCTCAATGGCAGCTCAACTTTTGTCTCAATAATTTGTTTCCAGACTAGTGAATCACCGGGTATGGCACGAACAGTTCATTAGGTATTGTCATATCGTGTGCAATTCACACATGTTACCTGGCTTTTCCCTATCTATCCTGATCTGATAGCTTGTTGTCCACTGAACATTTTGCACACACATTCATTCATTACCAACTTAAGCGAATAAAGCACGGTATGGCTGACGACGGATAAGCATAAGGAATACGTACCCTAGCCAGCGAAGCCTACCAGTCTGAATTCGATGCGCTAGCAGATTTATCCCTGAGATTATTTGGATTGATGAAATCAACTTCAACCTACATTTTTCATGAAATTATGGGCGTGCACCAAGAGGTCAAAGGTGTCGGATACCAGTGACCAATTTAAGAGGAAGAAATCTGCACATCATAGGCGCTATGAATGCTGATGGGTTGTTGAACTATGCTCGGAAAAGAGGATCATACAACTCCGTATTGTTTTTGCACTGGTTGCAAATGCTAGTAGATCATTTATTGCAAGAAGAGCACAAATCATATGTGGTTGTGTGACAACGCACCCTGTCATTCTCAACTGGAAACGTCGTTTCCGGGGGAAGAGTGAGCATTCTCAGACTTGCTCCATATTCTTCAGCGTTGAATCCGCTCGAAATGATATGGAGCATTACGAAAAGTAACGTCAAAACAGAGCTCCGAAATTAGCATGCTCAGATTATGACGGGTGATCCCGAAGGACAAAAGAACCAACAGGACTGGAGGATGGCATGTTTGGAAAGCATTGCTGGTGATGCCAAGTCTCATATCACGAAGGATCATTGTCAGCATGCAACTAACCATGTTCGTGTGTATCGGACAGCTTTCAAAATGTTTGATTTTTAATACATTTGATCTTTGTCTAACCACTGAACGTTTTTGTGAATGGGAGATAAAGTCGGAAAGTTCTATCTTTATTGTAGTCGATAGGCCGGGTGCATTAGATAATTCGTAGACTTTAGGGTACATTTACAATTACAGTGTGCTGGTTATCCACTTTGCGTTTGTAGATAATTTCATACAGAAGCAATCCGTCGGTAAGTAGTGTTTTCCGGGGTACGCGATGATTAAAGAAAAATCGAGGCAGAAAGTTGATGCATCGTTAAAACCCAAAGATCATGCGAAAGCAGTAGACTAGGTTGGGCAGGTCGACATTTTGCTGATCGTTAGGGTACAAGCTATCAACTGTTGGAGTCGATTCCAGTTTGGTCAAAATAGTCAAGGAGAGAAACTAAATGCAGTAGTCACCGCCAGCATCTTATGCATGCTAAGTATCTTGTGAAGTGTGCATTTCAATGTCAGAAATACGTAAGCAATCGCATTTGATTCAAAGGAATCGGTTTTATTCAAGAGAAACTCGGCCTCAATGCAATTTACTCATTGGGTTATTATGGACTGACTCCACTCATACAATGAATCATGCTCACATTCACGTCTGGGTATGGTGACCGACTTATCGATCCATCTTGGTGTGATTCGCTTCCTTATCCGACCGACAGAGGTCAATTAACTCCGGATTCGTTCATTCGCATGAAGCACACTCGATCAACGATCACGAACATAACATTCCCGGGTGGAACGGGTGTGTGGGGGGGGGCGGGGTGAGAATGGCCCACCTCAACCCTCCCTCCGCGGAACCTTCAACCTCGCTCGGTAATTCACTTAAAATGTACTTTTGTTTGTTTACGAGGGAGTGAGTTCATTCGGACTGGACGGGGTTTAGACAGACCCGGTCCAATGGGTGACATTTGACGGCCGAAACACCAATAATCTTGTGGGGTTTTCAATGGAGTGCGATTGGTTGGATTCACTTCAAGTTGAAAAGGTATAGAAGCCCTGTGAAAGCGCGACTCACTGCTAGCTCCTCCATTGTTCAACTTTTATCCGGAAATGCACTTGGACACTACGTTCACTTGTATCACATTGCCTCAGTATCTTGTGGGACGTTGGTATGTACTTCGCAAATCCTCTCATTACTGAAAAGCTGAACACATTGATTCTGGTTCGTGAACAACAATACAGTTCGCTCAAGCATATCACGTATCCTAACTTCGTGCAACAGATTTTTGTACGTGTTTGTTATTTTTTCGCTTTGTTTTAACTGCGTTCAGCTTTTCCTGAGGTCTTTGGCTCAGTACGACAAACTTCGCACTCGGGGCGCGTTTCTCGAACAGTTCCGAAAAGAGGAAATTTTTCGTGATGATCCCGATCTGAAAGAATTCTCTGACAGTCGTCAGGTTGTGCATAACCTGATCGAGGAACACACGGCGGCAACACGTTCCGATTATATCCACTGGGGTGCGCAACGCGCAGTCGCTGTGGCGGCCACACAAGCAGCTGCAGCCGCAGCTTCCATGAGCACTGCGGCATCCTGATGGGTCCTGGTTTTTGGCCGTCGAGTATTGATGAAACAGACAAATCTTATCCCGCTTCTCTCACCCATTCCATATCTGTTCCCGTCTACAGTCAGCAGACTGTGTTTTGTTGTACAAATCCGGATCTCTTGCTGTGTATTGGGGGCAAGCACACCGTTTTTCTAACTTCGGTCTTTCTCAGACCGAATCCCGTTGAATACAGACAGAGTTTTACCGCCTCATCTTCGTATTTTCGTAATTAGCATCATCATATCAGTGAGTTCTGTTCGCAGTTAACACAGCAGATTTCAAAATATCTGCTCATGGGTTAATTCGAATCGTGAAAAGGTCCAAATGAGTACCTGTTTCTCTTCGGTCAAGCTTAGTCTCACCCTGTCTCGGTTTGATAATATCTTCGTTCACAGTCATTGAATTGGTTGTGGATGGTTGCGCCATGGTTTAGTCACTGTCACTGGTGTGCTTTGGAGGTTCGAGCCCCGCCACCGAACTTTGGTGGCGGGTAGCTTTGTTATCCTCTAATTTGACATATATATATATATATATTTAATGTCTGAGTCCAGACTGTGTGCCAAACAAATCACAGTAAAGCAATCTTTATAAAAAGAAAATCGTTCCATGACTTGCATGTGGGCAGAATACGGCCAGGTTACCTAAACCAAGACAATGAAATTTTATCTCGGTATTAACAACCAGAGCCCTCGGTTAGTTAAAACCTGACCCGCGGGACAATGCGTGAAAACCGCAATCCGTTGGGGGTCGGTGTCCAGTTGATCGGAGTGTACATCCAGCGTGCTCAATATATAACCGGTGACCACAGCCAGGAGAGTGTGAATGGTTCGCACGGCTCTTCTTGGTTGGTTTGGAATCAGGGTGTTTGACCAGCTCCCGCAAGTGAACTGTCAGTGGGGCACCGACCTGGATGTTGGCTTTTTTCGTTCTCAATTTGATGGGAAAACACTTCGTCCACGAGCAGGCAGTAAGTAGGGTTTCCTCAATAGAAACTATTTGAGACGCCTGGTCGTATAGGAGCATTTCGTGAAGTGCAAAGGAACGGAGTTCAGCCACAACCCGAGACATCATAAGGCTTTCGGAGGCCATTGCAATGGATAAATGATAGTTTTGAAAGGATGTTTTGCACTCTCATGTTGTAGCCAGGATGACGTGTTACATCCAAACGCTTAAAGTCAAATTTTGTCGTATAAATGAGATGACCTCAATATCTTGGGCTTTCTTGACAGATTGCCTCAGTGATAAAACACAGCATACATCGAACTTCACCTCCGCTTCACCTATTTAGGAATTTAATCAGGGCTGTTCTTTCGCAGCGCGGCGCAGGCATTCCAAACATTGCGTCTGAAAGTTCAAATTGGATCCTATTTAGGCGAGTAAACGTTTGTCCCGCCCGTTACAGGAACAATGGTTGCATCGATTTATCTCGGAGAAAGAGCGATCTTCCCACCAGCTTAGTGTTTACAAATGTTTCACACAGTTTTTTCTCTCATTTCTGCTCCTTACAAAACCTCTGTATACAATCGCCATCAAATTCTGACTGAGTTTATGGTATCGCTCGTTTTGGTTTATCCTTGAAGACCGGAAATCGAATCCAAATGTGAACGTGCCAGTTAGGTGTACGAAGCAGTGTCAATGAGGCAGTGGTAATACAAAACCTCGACATATTTCAGTTGTCTAGTTTGCATGAATGTGAGATTGTTATATAAATATAGGCGGAAATTAGGGATAATTATAACAAGGAATTACCCGTATCCGATTGCAATGCGCCGTCAACACGACGGAATCGTGATGCATATAGAGTTATCCTACTGACAATTTTTAAGTAGCTGGTTAATGGTGTGTAAATGTTCTTATTTTCCGGAAGAAACAATTAAATACGAGTTAAAGTCCTTCAGTTGTTGTATCTTAGAGCATCATGTTTAGATCTATAGTAGCGACTAGGGATTGCCAACGGGTTCCCGGAATTATATCGGTATTTCTGATGGAGTTACAAGATCGCATCCGAAAATGCCACGTTCGAAAATTGCTTTACATCAATCTAAAATAATTCGATCTTCGTTTTTATTACACAGATTGTACTTGGCCACTCAGTGATCAAATACCTGGGACAGAACTTTTCAGCAGAGGTTGAGCTGTAACCTTACGGTTTACTGCCTTGATCAGTCAGTGTAGAACGGTCCATATTCGATTGTTGTTTTGTTACGATAAATCAGACCTGGTGGACTGTGCCGAACGTATCGGTTCGAGTTAATGGTTCTCTGTCGGGACCGATTGAGGCTATCAGTGGAGTTCCACAAGGATCCGTACCTTTTCCGGGCATTCATAAACGACCTACCAGATATCCTTGCTGATGATACCAAAACATGGAGGACGGTAAGATATCCTGAAGATTATGAAACCTTGCAGGAAACTCTCGACGCAGCTTATCGATGGTCCATCAATAATGACATCGAATTCAACGTTGAAAAATGCAAGGTTGCATCGCTGCGCCACGGGAGTCGCTTTCCATACTTACTTGGAACTCAGCCATTGCTGCGTTCTCCAAACGAAAAGAACTTGGGACTTATCGTTCATGAAGATCTGCGATGTTCCACACATTGCGCAAGAGCATCTTCAAAGGCTATAAAACACGTTGGATTGCTAAAATGTGTTTTTGAATCATCCAAAAGAGACTTATTGCCCCATTTATTATCAGCATACATTGGACCGCACACCGAGTATGCTATACAGGCTTAGAATCCATGACTGATTCGCGACCAAAAGGCACTTGAAGTCCCCAGAGAACAGGGTTACAATTTAAGACCTACAGTGAAAGACTGCGAATTCTCGGACTCCACTCGTCTGAATACCGTCGAATACGGGGAGACATGATCCTGGTTTATCAAATACTACAGCAACCTAACAACCCATGTAGTACTCTAGTGACGCTATCCGGGAATTCGAAAAAGTGGGTAAATTCCAGGAACTGCGATGTAGCATCTTAGTCAATAGTAGATGCTATTAAGTAGTATAAAATCGATTTCGAGTTTTGTGAAAAAATAAGCCGGATCGATGAAAAGTTCGTTAATTTCGTTACTTTTTCCCATGTTTATAATAATGTACTGCTTATTCATATCGACATTCAGACATACCGCCCTGCGTATCTTTTATGTATGTATCGAAGAATTTATAATCTTTTATAATGCCTTCAGCTTAATATCGGCACATTACATGCAGTAATCAGCCCCTTTTCAGTTCTCAGTGCCTAGTTATCCCTACCTAACTTTCTTCAGGGGATTGGTTTAACCCAATTATCCCATATTATTTCCAGATATACCTCCATTCCGTTACAATGTTAAGCCAACCACAGAGCGTATGACGTCCACCATAGCTATAATAATCACATTATTAACCCATTCAAGGAAAACAAAAGTGAACCAGTTCGAACATGGTGAGACCGAAATTCGCATTCGAAGGAAATAACATCCTAACATCTAAAATGCGTGAATGAGTAGGCTATACGCAGAACGTTGAATTCTTTTCCATATTCAAACTGATGGTTCGCTGTGCAATCTATTCATGCTTTTCTAATGTATCATTAGCGCATGTAGGCATCTATTCATTCATTCGCTTTTGTTGTTACCACTGTATGTTCAAACCGATTGGTACATTCGTCACGACCGGTGCTGGTCGGATTAAGTTCAACACCTGATTCATAAACCATAGAAGTGCATCTCATAAACTGACCTTAGACCCGGGTTACGATGACCTTTGACCAGTGACCTGTCTAATTTCATCGGTGTCCCAGCAAGGACAAGTGCGAGTGCCGTTCATCCATTCACACAGGCGTGTCCGGTCAACGGCAGTTATCGATCGCACGGATCTGACATCTCACCCGCTTACCAGTCAATCACGGTTATCGTTCACCCGTTTCCACGCTAGTGCGGCAGAGCCCATCGATAGACCGAATGGCCGTGGCTTTGGTGATCATTGTTTTCAGTTTTGATAACCAATAACCATGCCCTTTCGTCCGCCGGTTCTGTTTTCTGTCCGCTGTCTGCCCATAACATAAATAAACATTTTAAAGTGCTCCACAGGATTGCAAATAAAGAATTTGCAGATTACATAGATGTATTAATAGCAAAATCATAATTCGTCGTTGGAAATCAACAAACGTGCTGTTTAAATCAATTGTACACTCCAGCAAACGACCCGAACTCCGAGCATTAGCCAAGGCAAACAGCTTTAATTGATCCAATAACTTCTGCGCCTCTAGGATTGAGGTAACTTCTGCCGCATTCACTGCTTCACATTCGTCTTTTTCTTTGCGATGCTCAGCTTGATTGGAAACGAATTCATCTAGTGACTGAAAAAGAGACTTGATACAAAAATTTTAAATAACCCACTTATTCATCATCTAATTCCAAGCGGGCGATTTCTTCTTCGAAAAGACTTTCAGTAGTAGACACGTAATGAGTAAAGTCCTCGATCAGATCGCATTTACCCTCTGGTGGCTGCATCACCGACTAAATCAATGTGGATTTGAACCCAGCTATCATGGAAGCGTTGATCAGTACGTGCGGATGCACAGATACCCAAGCTTTCTTAACCAAATGCATGGCCATGAGAATGTTCACCTCGGCCTTCATGATAATCTGCCCGTCTTCGTTCAAAGACAAAACATATTCCAGTAAATGTTTCCTAAACGAACATTCGAAAGACCAAATCACGCCCTAATCCATTGGTTTTAACATTGAATCCTGGCTTGACCATAATGTCGAGGACTCACTAATTGGAATCAATGTTTTTAAATGCTTCCGTAAGGATAGGAAGCACTGCAAGAAGAAAACAGGAGGTGGAGTGATCACATACATCAACTCAACCTGGAGCGGCAAGTCTGAAATTCTTTTTGATTATTCCGCCGATGGCATCGACTGCTTAGCTGTTCAATGTTTCCCTAGATTTTTGCGATACAGGAGTACACACATTACCAACTTATAAGTAACCCA